ACCTTCTTTAAGTAATTCTGAATGCACAATAAACCTTTGAATCTATCTTAATTTATTAGGCCTTGAAGCCTTTGTTGCTGCATAATAAATTCATCATGTATTTGAATACAAGCCATTCTCATTGTAAATATGCAGGCATCCAGAACCCCAGCTGTCTGTAAAGCACTTCTAAGCTCACCCAGGCAACAAAATCACCATCTCCTCTCCAGGCAAAACCAGTAGCTGACTCTTAAAAGCAACCAGCCAAGTGACTGCTCAGTGAGGAGCTCATTTTGGGGCACCTGTGGTGTAAGGCTGGCATCACCTGGCCAGAACTGCTCTGGTCCCCAGTGAAGACCTGCTTTTTTCCACAGAGCTTCTCTCTTCAGTATAACTTCTGGTGTAGGGGCAATCTCCTTGTGGCCAACACAGATGTGAAATACCAGGGCACATAGGACTCCAGCTACACCCGCTGCATTTGGAAAATCTCCTCCAGCAAGGTAATTTTCAGGAATCTGTTTAGGGCAACTCCTAACTGAATAATAACATTGTCCAGGCTGGACCAGTCCTTTTTCTATTAGGTGATTAAGAAACAGAGGATGATGCCAAGATAATAGATTGATGAAGGGGTAGAGTATTGCATAGTCTCATCTATGCACTACTCTACATATGGTTTTTCAGATAAGTTTTTGGCCAGGTTCCAGATCACAAAGGGAAACAGGGTCAGGTCCAGGACATGAACTCTGGGTCTTTAAGGCCTGGCTATGTGTTAGACCAAGTAGCCTCTCGTGGCACTGCAGAGCTGGAACTGTGAGCAGAACATGGCCTGAGGGGATTTGATTATGGGGGATTATGCAGGAGAAGGAAAGAAGCCAACTTTATTCTCAGCGCTTAGGCCAAGTTTGCAGAGCTGGCAGTTAGTGAACAAAAACAAGCCTATTTTATATGGGTAACACAAGCACATTCACTGGTACAATAAGCAGAACTTCCCCCAGGTGCCATTTTAACAGATATATTTCAGAGTAGAACCGCAATTTGAGGGAAAATATACTTGGCACAATGTTGTAGTTTTAAGAAATGTAAATGTCTGAATGGCAGGAAATTCAAAGTAAAGGTTACACTCAAAAGCGCTTTTTTTTTTTTGGAAAGTACCAGAATTAACCTGAAGAGTGTTGAAAAACCTAAAACATGGCTGAAGTTTGGGAGGAAACTTTATGGGGTCCCTAGCTCCGGCTCTTCAAGCGAGCCATGAGAGCATGGAGCCTCCACCCGCTCCCAGGTTCCGTTCCACACCACGTGGCAGCAGTCATCCATACCTGAACAGCGCGCTTGTCACAGGAACCTCACAAATACCTTAGCAGAACCAGGAACTTTAGCTAACCAATAATAAAACACACCCAAGGTCTCCAAAACTAACCCAAATTTTCTACCTCCACTGAAGGCAACAGAATGAGACCAGTCTTGAATTTCTAGGCCAGCCTAATTTTTTTATGTCATAGGTCCCACACCTACCCAAACGAAATTACTCCACAGAAGTGCTCTGTACCTAGTTTTTTTAACACTCTCATAACTCACTTCTGTTTACCCCAGATGTTTCTGAGACATTCTGCTTCAGCATGCATGTGAGATTTCTTGTGGCTTAGATCAGTTTCTATTAAGTTGAGGGGAGAAATAGAATCACTCATAACAGATAGCTAGGCTTCACCCTGAACTAATATTTCCCCACTGATACATCTATGGTGACCCGATTCACGCTCCTATGAGAGCCTCAATTCTAATGGTTTCATGGGTCTATTCTGCTGCACAAACAAAGGCTTGGTACTTATGTTCTTTGACTTCTTGTTTTAAATAAGCAGCTGTCCTTTTTCCTTTTTTTTAATTTTTTATCTGAGGCCCTGTGAAAATGCAGTTTTGCCTTAGCCTCCCACATTTTGAACTTCATCATTCTGCTCATGCAAAAAGGAAAAGTTTCACAGTTTTGGCAGCATCACTTCATTGGCAGTAATAAAACTTAGCTCAGTGCAATGGGCTTGGTCTTCCACTGGCAAAAATCCATGCAATCAGTTGATTCCAATGGGTCTATGCTGGTTCATACCAGCTGAGGATCTGGCTCAATTATTTTATTACAAGCATCCCTCAAATCACTGTTGTTTGAATGTATTGTTTCATAGTAATAGCAGCACCTCTTCCTCACTAAAAGAAAAAGCCTGAAATTTTATTCTTCTGCCACTTTGGAGCCATTTGTGCACAGAGGCACTTTTCTTTGCCACAGGAAAAAGGAGTTTCTTTCTGTCAATGTGCTTAACTGAAAATGAAGTGCCTTTTCCGCACGCTTTCCAGAAACACTCATCTGTGGAATGAGACAGTGCACAGCTGCTCTCAGCCCACGAGGGAGTCAGAGAAGAGGGTGGGTATCACAAACGTGGTGCGTGGCAGCTCTCACAGGTGCAAAACCTATCTAAATACATGCAGCATGACCTCATTACCCTTGCTTATGTTGAGGAGCAAGGAGACCCACTGCAATCCATTGAGCTGCTCTCAGAGTAGTGTATGCCAAGGAGCTTATCTGTGTTAAGGGCCTGCATTGATGCACTCACCAGTGAGGCTGGTGGCAGATGTGCGTTATCCCAGTGCAGCCCTTTTACACCAGGGAAAAGGAAAAGGAGATGGGTGCAGGCACTGCCAGAAAAATAATTTTGAGATCTGGATAATGAGCATTTTAAGCACGAGATTCTGAAGCCATTCTTCAGGTCTAGCTGACCTGCTCTAAGACCTCCCTTCATTCCCAGGGCATGTCAGCTTCCGGATAAGGCTGCTCTAACCAGCAACAGCCCAGCAGCAACCATTATACCAGTTAGGGATTGCTACAGCCCAGTAACACTTTGACTGCATTCCCCCTTGGCCTAACCCTACATGCTAGAAGCTGGCTGCCAGCTTCTCTGGCAATACACCCTGCAAAGAGTCTCCATACCAGGAATCCTCAGCTGCCTACTGGTGGCAGCTTTTTATGGCCCCTTTACACTGATAGGTGATATGGTATCAGAACTGAGAAGCTGGCCTGAGGTCTTTGTCATTCACAGTCCTGCTTCAGTGAGACAGATGAGGCATGTTCTTGACTGCAGAGTTTGGAGCTTGAGTCTCAGTAGGGTTTGGATTGTAACGCTGTGCCTGAAATGGCCTTTTGCTGCAGGCTTCCTAAAAATAGTTCCACCCACTCCCTCAAATCACTGTTCTGCTTTCTGTATTTGAGGCCTGAGAGTCCCTTTCTGGACTGCAATGATGAAAAGCTAATCCTCCTCCTGCATCCCTCTTCCCACTTCTTGAAACTATTCTCTGCTCCATGTCCCTCCTCAAGCCCTCATTATTAACCTGCAGTTTTTGCTCCTGTCCTTGTTTTGCCCCAGGCTCTGTTGTGCTTCTTGTGGCCTCCCTGATGTCTTTGTGGGCCTTGATCCACCAACCCTGTCAAGTAAATAGGCTTGAAACCATGTGCTCTGTTGCTGGTTTCCACAGGCCTACTTTCAAGTGCTCTGCTTTCTGCTCCCTGAAATTACTGACCTGGAGCTGACTGTGACTTGGAGCTCATCACTCAGTCACTTCTGCTCAAATGCTGTCACTGGGCGTATGGTAACTCCTCAGAGACTCTGAGATATGGCTCTAAGGAGCATTCAGCTCTGTGGCCACTCTGCATGTCAGTATTTCAGTATCTTCCTGCCCGGCCCTACTGGCCATGCTTGTCCAGCCCTGACCAGACAGGAAACGTTACACATTGTGCTTTAGCGAGTTTGTGCATGCAATGGGAGAGGAAAAGGGTATTGGGTTTTGAGGTTAGGTACATATGTATTTTCATTTGCAAAATGCAGGGGGGTTGCACTTGGGGTTGTATTTGGGACTGCCTGGGTATAGAGCAGAATATGTCTCTACACGGTGAAAATGTCCATATGATGGTTGTGCTTATAAAGGTGGTGGTTGCTGTTTGGGACAAGGATTCAGGACTCCTGGGTTTTGCCGCTGCCCTGTTGGGAAGTCCCTTTAATCACCTCTCTCCTGCTTATTTTGCAGAATGGGGCTAGTCCCTTCCTTGCAGCTGTACAATGAGAGGTAATACACTGAGATCCTCAGGTGAAAGGAAAGAGAAAATGTTTGTGTGTCTGCGCAGAGTGAGGGACATGTTTGTTTGTGTGGGTAGGTGAGCTCTGTGTGTGGGAAGGGTGTCTGTGTATGGTGTGGCTGTGCAAGGGTGGTGGTTGTATCTGAGGCCTGCTTTACATACGAGGGCACACCAGTTCAATGCAAGGTGTGATTTTTCGATTGGCTTAAACAAGCAGGCACTGCCTTGGTATGGATGCTCTTAAACGGAGTTCATCCTGGTTTGCACCAGTGCAGAAACCTGCGGGGGTAAGCTAGGTTTCCTGTGGTGTAAATGCATCCACACAGGGATTAACAGTTAGCAGTTTTTTTTAACTAGATTAAACTCAGCCAAGGTGTGTATGCAAGCCTGAAGTGGCAAGTATGCAGCGTGGTCTACGTGAGTGTGTTTCAAACGGGGAGGCTGTGGGTAGCTGGAGGTGTGTCTGCATGCTGGGGGTGCATGCAACGATTGCACATGGATACCCAGCACTGTCAAGCTGAAGCCCAGACAGCTGATTCCTCGTCCCCCGCCTGTACCTTTTTTCAATACCAGTCAGGAAGTGGGACGTGGTTTGGGGCTTTTTATTCTCGGCCTCGCTAGCCTTTTCGATACTTCGGGGCCTCATCTCATTCTGACGGGGCGAACAAGCTGCAGTTTCCTGTGCAAAGGTGAGAGGGAAAAGAGCTTACTTGAGCACAAGCCCTGTGCTCTCACCGAGCTGGCCAGCTCCAGCCTCTCTCCTCTGGCTCCAGCAGTCCCAGCTAGCCAGCAGCCGGGTGCTGAACTAGGAGCCTGCTGTCTCCACTTTTCGCTGTCTGAGGACCACCACGTTACATCCATTCGATGGGCAAGTCCAGCCACTGAGGGGCATCTGCGTCCGGGCCACACAGCAAAGGAGGGCACCACACAGACAGGTAATGGGGTAATGCCAGACAGCTCCCATGTAGAGGAGGCTGAATGCAGGAGGTTCTTGGAAGGAGTTTCAATCTGACGCATTTTTCCTAGCACTTGAGGGGATCTGATCATTTATTTATCTTTCTTTCTGTTTCCACATCCCTTTTCCTCTCATCCTGCCCCATACCTCTCACAGACTGCTTCTATTTTTTTTTTCATTGTTTTTGTCTTTCTTTCTCTGACCTGACATCATTTATCAGAACTGAAATCTCTCTTGTGTGTCCAATGGCAACCTTAGCCCTCTAGTAATCCACCTCTTCTTCTGCCTTGGGCTTCAGCTTGTGCCCTTGCTTTTCTTTCCTTTTTTATATCTTTATGACAAGATATTTTGCAGAATTCACAGATTTGCTGGAATCTGACAGGGCCATGCCGTGAGTGCTTCTGCTGTGACCTCAAACTTGAGACCTCTGGGCTGTCAACCATGTGCCTTAGCACCCATGTCTGCCACCCCCGCCCCATGGGTTTTTGCTTGCTACAACAATCCCTAAGCCCCCTGTTCATGGAGGAAGAGGGTTGTCCCCTCTTATCTGGGCAAGTAAGATCACCTGGATACGGGACAGACTGGGGAACATGAGGATATGGGGAATGAATGTCCCACTCAGCCTATGGCAGCAGAGAGCTTCGCCCCAACCTGCCTTGAAAGGAGCCATATATGCAAGGGAAGGACAAAAAAGTTTGAATTCCTCCATCATGGAGGGCTCCCTCTGAGGCAGCATGGGGGATTTCTAGAGAAGCAGCTGTGGTTGAAGGGCATGTGTGCTTGTATGGTTAAACCTTTGTTTACCGCGTTGGGCACCCTTTTCCCTATCCCTTTATATAATCCCTGTCCCATTCAAGTCCTCTAGGCTCTGTCTGCTGATTCTCCTGCTCACTCTGCCTCTGACATCCAGAAAGCTCCCTTTCCCCTGCAGCTAATGATATGAAACCATGTATTCGCCTCCCTGCAGTCGCTGATGCTTGCAGTTACAAAAAGTCTTCCCACACCATGTACTGTACTGGGTGTGACCTATGCAGCTTCTCTGCCTGAGTCAGCGACCAGCCTGAAACAATAGGGCTGAGTGGGGTGCTGTTATACTCATTTCAAGAACATTGTAACTCTGCAATCAATATAAATGTCAGTACTGCTGGTAGTCAGTTTTGTTCAGCAGTTGAACAAGGGAGGAGAGGACTCAGACGATGAAGAGATGTGCAGTCAGAGGAGTGGATTCTCCTTCATGTGACATGGATAGTTAGGCTGTTTTTTAGAGAGATCTGACTTAGGGCCTGTGCTGAGAAGTGCCACCTTGCTACTTCATTGGTTTCAAAGTCAAACTACTGCTAATAGCACTGAGAGAGGATTGCTGTAGGGAACCCTCACGCGCTCCCAGAAAAGAAAGGGGGGAGATCACATCCCGACCCGCGCTGGTGACATCCTCTTCTCTCTTCCAGTGTGATCCATTCCTGCACTCAACAACAATGAAGTCCTCCCCACCCCTTCTCCTTCACATCAGGCTGTTTGCTCTCCTGGCCATCACACTGGCATCAGAAGCCACACAGGGTAAGAATGGATCCCTTCTACACTCCATCGGGGATATCAGGGAGGTGTGTGGGTGAGACAGTGCACAATGTTGTTTGTCACTCTGCTGTATGGGAGGAGGTCAAGCTGATGTGGGGCTTCCTCCATGCCCTGAAGCCTGTCAAGAAGCGTGGAAGCAAAGGACTATATGAGTAATGCAATAGGTAGCATTCTTTTAGAGGCACCCCATTTTGGAGGGTGTGAGCAAGCAGGTAAGAAGAGGCTGTAAGCTTCTTTCTTTATTGATTGGAGATGTTTCTCCTGTGTGTTAGTCCACCCATGCATTGGATGCAGGGTGGAGCTGTATGGAATGCTCCTGAATACCTAATGCCTTTTGTTATGATGAGATTAATGGAATTAATCTCCTTTCTGTTGACAGGATCCTCAGACCTAGAATGCTTTTATGACTCAGGGGTAACTCTCTTTTGCACCTGGACTCCAGATGGGACTCTCACAGAAGCACCATGTCAACTTGATGCTGAACTTCAGGACCCTTCTCCTGACCACTGGTATGTTCTTGGAATGATTTAGGAAAAGCAAAGTCTGCTTTTCTTTAATTCTACAGAAAATGAACAACTGACCTGCAAGTTTAGTACAGGGCCTCAGCTGGAGTAAAGTGGGGTAACATGATTCTTTCCAATACAGCTGGGCTGAGTCCACAAGGACACCTACTCTCCAACCTGGAGTAGCTAGGATGTTGGCCAACTCTTTATGCAACATTCCTCTTTTCATGGTATAACAAAAAATCTAGCTCAGCTTCTCCTTTCCTGTTTAATTTCTGTAATTTGATTCATTTTCTTCAGAGCTCTTCTACCAGTAGACTGGCTGATTTCAGACCATGAAGGGCATTAGTAACTGTACCAGGGCATTGCTGGTCTGCCTAGCAAGAAGATAGATCAAGGGTGGGCAAAATGTGGCTCGCGGGCCAGATGTGGCCTGCCAGGCCATTCTATCTGGCCTGTGGGGGCCCTAAACTTTTTAGAAAATTAATATTTTCTAAAATATTAGAAAATATCAGCCCCTAGCTGCCTGTCATGCGGCCCTCAATGGCTTGCCAAAACTCAGTAAGCAGCCCTCCACCCGAAATAATTGCCCACCCCGATGTAGATTTATATTGGCTTCTTCTACAGCAGCAATGGGCTTCTTAAGAAATGTTCTACCCTGGAGGGGCAATGGGAGTGAGAGGACATGCTGCTGAGGGCGGAGGGGAAAGGAGGAGGTGCCAAGAAGGGACAGTGGGACTGGGAATGAGATTCTTAATTGACTTGGGGACTGATCCCATGCTAGTCTGCCGGCCAGGGGTGGCCCAGGAGCTGAGAGCAGGGGGTGCAGCCCCGGTGCTCCACTTCACAAAATCCTGGATCTGCTCATGCCCTTCTTTAGCACCTCCTTCACTCCCTGTTCTCCATGGTGATGGTGGCAGGTCTGTAGCCACCACTGAGTTCAGTGGAAGCTGGTGCTGGTTCTGTAGTGTTTAGCTGTGGCATGAGACCCACTTTATGGTGGTTAGCTAGGTTATCCTTTCAGAAAGAGGCTTCATTTGGAAATGGTAGTAGGTGGGTCTCTGTTAATGGCTGGCAGCTTCCTTTAAATGGTGTAAGAGTGTCCAGTAGGTAATAGATCTCCTTGGGCTATGGAAAAGGCACAGCAGGGGGCTGCTACATGACAGTGATGGGTGAGAGGGTTCAGGGCTTCTTTCCAGTACTGGGTCTTTGAGTTCTGCCCTGGGCCAGAAACAACATATACCAGCAACAGTGGGAAGAGGACTCCCACTCAGAAAACTGCCTATTTTATGCCCTCCCTTTCTCTCCCCTTCCACCTACCCATGCCAGAGTAGGACGTAGAAATGATTATGCGGCACAGTTCGCTCTTCTCAGCAGTCCTGGGGAGCATTATAGGAGGGAGTTTGTTTGGCAGCAACTGCCACAGTTGTCTGGAAGCTACTTGGGGTGCAGCACCTAGCTAGGCGGGGAGCACAGCTTTGGAGGTGAGCTCCCTTTGAGGATAATGTGGAAGGCAACTTTCCTATTTGCCTTTAGTGCCCCACCCTGCTGCCTAGGATTAGCGGGCTGGCTTCCTCATGGCTCTCTATTGGGTAGTGTGCACAGATGGAGCAGTCCCTGGGCTCCCTCAGGGGAATGGATTGCATTGCCTCTTGCACTGGGAGGGGGGATGTATTAGGGGAGCTGGGGATAGAACTTAGCAGCGGAACAAGGCACAGGCAATGTGGCCCCCACTTTGGCTGTGCTGTGAATGCACAGTGAGCTCTAAGCTCATCGCTTGGTCAGTGCAGGCTCCTGCCAGACCTCTGCCTGAACTGTGAGCTCAGAGCTCATCTGTTGACTAGGGTGGGTTCCAGTGCGAGCCCCTGCTTTTGTTCAGCCCCAGAGCCCAGGGGGTGAGCAGTGCTGCTGTTCACCCTCAGCCTGAGCAGGGAGAGGAACCCCCCTGTTGTGACTAGACACAGCTTGAATCCAGTTGTGCCCCACAGATGTCCATGGGTGTTTTGCTGCTGAGGCTAGTGGGGGCAGGAGCACAGTGTGCTTGAGAACAGGCAAAGAGGCAGAAGATACAAAATGAACTGCTCAGAAAGAAATGACTGCTATGGGCTTGCAAATGAACAAGCCCTGCCGCACTGCCCAGAGACTGTCCATGTTGCCAGGGTTTACCAATGGAGCCTGATAACAGTGCTGCTGTTCACCAGCCCCATCCCCCTTCCCAATGAATTCAGCAGCCAGGGAAAGAAAGGGAAGAGTGGCAAAGACAGTGCTCACACCCTGGGCTCTGGAGCTACATGAAAGCCCTGGCTTCAGGCAGCCCCTGTGTGGACAGCTCGCATGTGACACAGTCAAAGGGAGGGTGCGACCACACCATTTTACCCCCTCCAGATCCACCCTGATAGAGTTCCTTGTGCCCTTGCCCTACCTGGCCCATTCACACAAGTCTCCCCCTTTTTATGCATCTATGTAGCATGACCCTACCCTGCCTCTCTTGTACCAAACCAGCCCTATGTGGATTAGGGCAGGGCCGGAAAGAGAAGTCTGTGTAAGGAGCCCTTTGGGTGACTCAGTCTTCATCTGATGAGGGGGAGGAGAGGTTCTTTTTTAAAATCTTCCCCAGGCTCCTGCTACAGAAGCTGAGCCCACTGCCCTATTCCTTCCCACAGCACCTACATTTGTTTTGCATCATTTTGTTTCCAAGGGGATCTTGTCTAGGCCTTTGCTTTGCCACCTACTTCTTTGAATAAGAGAAGCAGATTGTGTCCTTCCTGAGAACCAAAGATCAGCTGTGCCTACTGGAGGCTCATCCAGGCACTTTTAAAATGCTGGGGTCAAATTACAGATTTCCCCTACTTTATGCTGTATGTACGTTCCTGGAAAATGGCACATAACTCAAATTCACATAAAGGGAACCCACTTTACAATGTAACAAATAGGGATATGTTCCAAGACCTCAACTGTACTGACCCCCAGACTTATTTCTATCACTTTTACAAGACAATTTTGGTACTCACCAACAGCACCAACAGCTGCAGCTGCCCTGGGAGCAGCACCATTGGGTGCGCCGTGCTGCCTGCCTGCCCGGCAGTGGGACACACATGGCATCACACTGCTCCTGGGACAGCTACAGCTGCAGAAGCACGAGCACCAGCTTCCCTGAGCAATGGGCTTCCACCACACTGAACACCTAACAGTGAATTTACCTCACATATAACGAATTTTTGGTATAAAAAGGGTCATTGCTTAAGAGCGAATTCACACATACAGAACCTGCATAAACCGAGGGAAACCTGTGTTGCTATGCACCTTGCCTGTGGCTACACCTGCTGTGAGGAGGCCAGTGCAGGGCACAGTAGCTCACCCAGTGAGAGGGACACTTTGTGGGGACCAAGTGACATCAAAGGCCTGGGATCCGCACTGGATGCTTGTTGATTTCCGTCTTGGAGTCTCCCTGGTTATATAAAGAGAGAGTGGTTGCAGGGCCTTCTCCATGAGGGCTTTCAGATTCTGGACTTATCTCTTCCCACTTTGGCCTGAAAAACATTGTGACTGGGTGACTTTTGGGCCTTCTGTCAAAGATATGTGTATAAGAAGAGTATGAAGCAGGACTCTGTAGGGAGCTGGTTGAGCTCTTGTTGGCCTGAAGATATCTGTGGCTGGGATTTCCTTGGATTTTCTTATCAATGATATTAGGCATCTAAGAGTCATGGAGAAGCCTCATTTTTGTTAAATCAAAATAAATACATCCAAAGTCCTCAAGTTCATCAATGCTCTCACACCAGCAAACCATGGTCTCCTCTTTCTTACAGGTGCTGCAAGGGAAAATGTAAATTATACGGGGTTGGCCCCAGGAGATGTGACCTTGCCTTCAACAACAAGACTAATGTGGGTAACCTCCCTGGAATTAACCAGCTAATAAAAACCTGGGGGTTGTAGTTTTCTGCTAAGAGACTAAATTTTATTTCCTGATTCCCGTTATCTGACTTGGGGCATGGTTACAAAAGTGGTAATAATTATAGCCATCTGGCACAGGTCAGAATCCCATCACCATCCCACCCAGGCTGTTGTAGTCTCCAGGGGATACTGAATTTAGTACCCCTTCCTTCCCTTTCTGTTTGATACCTGTTATGCTTTTATGTAGGATCCTGCCTCTTTTTATGGATTAGTCCAGAGCCTTCACATTGTGCTTGTGGCACCCACACACTTATATCAGCAGTAAAGCTGTGACACAACTTGACCAATAATACCTAAGTAGATGCTTTGCCATTCCAACCTGACTCAGCCCATTTTTCTCCCTTGGGGAAGAAGCGATGGCAAGCCTCGAATATTCAAATACTCTCCTCTCCCTGCCTCAACTTCCCGAGTCAGGCTAATGCCATTTCCCTGCTAATTAGTAACTGTGAAGTGCTGCAGGATCCTTTGCATGCTGAGGGTCATGCAAAGGAGTAGACCTTGCCATGACAGACGCCTTAGAAATATGGTTACAAGGGCGGTAACTTGTACTACTCACAAATTCCCCTTGCAGATACCTGCCTTGACTTATTCAGACAGGCTTACCCTGACTGTGTCCTGCCAAACTGGGGAGAACTGGACAACGGTGAAGCAAGAAAAGAAATTTTCACCATTTGACAACAGTGAGTGTTGACCTGTCATTCCCTTCCCGCAGGCTTCTCCATTCCAGTCTACCTGCCCATTGGGCAACCTGCTCTTCACCAAGTATATGGAGCCCACTGCTTTTCCCTCCTCTTCTGCAATTGTCTGCTCCCTCAGCCACCAGAGGCTCACCATGCTGCTCTGGCTTTGACCTGCTGCTTCAAGCTAGCTACCCAAGCCTGGGGTCTGGATCTACTGGCAGTGAACTGTGAAAAAGGCACATTTGTTGTTTTCAAAAGCACTTAGAACAAGCTCTTCACCTGGTGTAAATCAACAGAGGTGATAGGGCATCTCCATTTTACACCATTTTACATGGCCTCATGTACCTCCAGAGCAGGGAGAGGAACCACCCTGTTGTGTCTGGACACAGCTGGAATCCAGTTCTGCTCCATAGATGTCCATGGGTGTTTTGCTCCTGAGCCTAATGGTGGCAAGAGCACAGTGTGCTTGAGAACAGGAAAAGAGGCAGAAGGTCTGAAATGAACTGCTCAAAAGAAATCACTGGTATGGGGTTGCAAATGAACATGCTCTGCCGCACTGCCCAGAGACTGTCCATGTTGCCAGGGTTTGCCAGTGAAGCCCAATAACAGAGAGAGTGAATTACTACTTCAGTTTTTCCTATGGCTCTTCATAGTGTCTATGTTAGCCCATCTCTCCCTCTTCTCTCTCCAGTCCAGATGAGGCCACCAGACACCCTCGAACTGGTAAATGACACTGGACACGTCTACAACTTAACGTGGAGACTTAGTGTTTCTTCTCATTACTTAAATGAAAAACGGGAATATGAACTACGGTACCGAGCTCAGAATAAGCCCTCGGAGGTGAGTGCAGGGGCCTGGATGGGTTTCTTCTGCTGTCGTGCCTCAGGCCTGTAACCATAGGTGAGGCCTGGACCTTCCTCCCACAGAGAACTTGTCTTTCCCACTGAGGGTTTGTCTGTGTCACATACCTAATAGTCCTGGTCTTCCTCTTAAGCAGAGAAAGGCCTTGGCAAGGTTGAACCACCCATCCACTCTCATCTGGATCTCTAGGGGCACCCTCCACCCCCAATTCTGAACATGCTAGAAACAGAGATCTCAAGAGCAGTTGTGGGAGTAGCTTCCCTACAGGTTTCACAAGTATGAACTGGAGCAGGTGGGCAGGGTGTACTTGAGAGTCACCCTCCCTGGAAGTCCTGGTGATGTGGTGAAGACATAAATGTAGAGTCTAGACCCTTGCAGAACTCACTGCAAGGGCAAACAGCCCCTTTCTCCTGAAAGAAGCAGATTTTTAGGGAGACCAACTTAATCCATTTCGTTTGCTGAGATGTGATGGAGGTGGCATGCAAGCAAACAAAATTCCCAGTCTGCCCAGTCTTAAGTTGGGAGGAATGGTCTCCTCCCAGTATTGGAGAGTGTGGAGTCTGGAGAGGAAAAGGGTGGAGAGGGGCTCCTGTTATTGCCTGGCATGGGAATAACTCTGTAACTTTTACTCTGCCCAGGATTTTATGTATGTCAGCATCAAGCAGGATCAGGAGTGGGTGAAGTTTGATAAACTTCTGCCTGACTCAGAGTATGAAGCTGCAGTTCGTGTGAAACCAGGCAGACAAAGTGGTTTAAAAGGCGTGTGGAGCAACTGGAGCAAAACCATAATGTGGAGGACCCATACTAATGGTATGGATCTGTGGGCAAGGCTCACAGGGAAGCAGGTTTGGAATGGGGAGGCCAGGGCCTGTAGACAGGGGAAGACAAGGGAGGCAGTGTCCCTACCTCATTTCTAGGTTTGACATGTATGAACAAGATGGGCAGGGCATACTTGAAAGTCATCCTCCCTGGAAGTCCTGGTGATGTAAGACACCCCTGCAGAGTCTAGACCTTACAAAACAGGTCATGGAGTTCTGTGGACATGGAGGAGTGCACTCATGAAAGAGCAATATAAACAATAGAGATCACTTTGGCGGGTCCTAAAGCCAGACATAGGTGACCCGGGCCTGAGCCCCACTGAAGTCACTGGCAGAACTCCTCCAGCAATTTCACCTCAAAGCTCAAACCTCACAGAGCAGCAGGACATCCCTCTAGCCTGCAAAGGAAAGGACCAGGAAGGATATTTTCCAAAGAACCCATTTGCTCTAGTGTGTGTCTGCACCACAGCAGCAGAGATCCATTTCACTGCTGAGAAAACAAGTCCCATCAACCTGTTGCCCACTCCTCACATGTCAACTCAGAAAGGAGATGGAGAGAGCCTCAGCATTGCATTCAGGACCTGAATTTCTGACATGGTCAAGAGTGATGGCTTGGCATGCCCCAAAGGCACCCTCATCATCTCATTTCTGAGGTCTAATGTATGTGGAGTGGATGCAGGCGGGCAACCTTATTTCCTCAGAGGCACAGCTAAGCACCCTGCCACTGCGGTATAGACAGACTCTTAGGGTATGGGGGCACTCACAGTTTACCACTGGGGTAAAAGGGAGCCAGGCCTATCAGCAGCTCCATAGTAACTAGGCCCACTTTCACTGAGGGCTAAATTACCATGATTTAGCTTCTCTTTATAGCAGGGTAAGAGTGGGAACACAGATGATTACGAAAGCAGCTGACATGCAGTGAAGCCTCATCCTTGCTCACCCACAGTAAAAGTTTCACATTTTTGTACCCTTGGGACCCCAAGCTCAGTATCAAAAGTAATCAGGCAGCTTAAGTCTCCATTGAAAATCAACAGGACTTAGGCTCCTATGACACTTGGGAAAGTGTTACTCCAAGACTTGAACCCACCTCTCTCATGTGGCAACACAGAGCAGTCCTCTGCGTCCCCTGGATATCTTGCCCAGTCAGAGCCCCACAGTGAAATGGCAGCAAGGAGAACATAACTTGCAGCCTTAGAAAAGACCACGTCCATCCCATGAGTTGCCCACTCCAGGCACGTGTCATTTCTTCATAGGACACAGGCAGCTAGTGGTACCTGCATTGCACCTGGTGGTGGTATAACCAGAGGAGCTATGTTTAGAAAGGGCATTGTGCTGCTGCAGCATTCAAGTTTTACCAGTGTGATGTCAATGAAAAGGATACAACTACAACCAGTTGTCATAGCAACTGGGACCCAAAGATAACCAGGTACCCAAGGCTGAGGAAACAAAGGGAACTTGCTAACATCTCAAGGACAGGCAATGAGAGAACCTTGCAGAAAGGCAGCCTGCTCTGTTCCCCTTCTGTCCTCTGTGTCCTTTCCAGGGGAGCTCTGCAGGCCCAGGCTGATGTGCACTGGCAGAGGGCACACAGGATAAGGAACAGCAGGATGGAGTGGAGGTGCTTTGTGAGAGCTGCATAGGAGCGGCAAGCTAGGAGTGGCAGAGGGTGCTGGAGGATAGGCTGAAGGGGTCTGGGCAGAGCTGAGAGAAGAAGGGGACCTGCTGATTAAGGCATGCTAGCTGGCAGAGACTTGTATGTCAAATCTCTTTTCCCAGAAGGAAAATTAAAAACTGAATGGGAATGGATGAAGAAAAAGAAGTCTGAGACCTGTTCTCCCCAGGTCTTGTGTTCTGCTTGGCTCTTCCCAGTAACCCTTTCTTTGCTTTTGCAAAATTGACAGAATCAGCCGCCCTGGTTGCTCCCCAGCCCATGCTGCTAGCTGTTATAGGAAGCTCATGCACCGCTCTCCTCATCCTCGTCATCTTGCTGCTTAACTCCCGGACACTGAAATGGTAAAAAATAGTGGAGTGTTACTCTCCAGGACTGTCACACACCTGTGTGTCTTCTTGACACGCGCTCTGTCCTTTGCTCTCTCTGTCTCTGATGGTGATACTCATGTGAAGGAACAAGCCAAAATAGGTGAGGACTGGGCTATGCAGGAGATGGGGTATCAAGCAGGATCAGGAGTGGGCCAGTCTGATTGGGAGTCAAACCCCTCAGGTTCCTGAAGGATAGTTAGCATAGCGTTAATGTGGATGACTACAGCACGGTAGTGTTTGCATTGTGATGTCATGACTCACTCACAGTGTGATGTCATGGCATCACCTGGCTTTAACTAACTGTGCAGTGCTGGATTTAGGTTTAAACTACTTAAGCTACAGCTTAGGGTCTCACAATATGAAGGGACTCTAAATAAGAAAAAAAACCTGGACATTTTCATTCTAATATGACAAAAATATATGGGGCTCCACAGTTATTATTTATATTGAGTTCATAAATTTGTGCAGAAATAATAATAATTCATCTTAAAATTTCATGAAAAGCCATTTTCATGGATTATTTTTATCATATGGGGCATCTTAAAATGGACATAGCTTAGGGCCTCAGCATGTCATAATCCAGCACTGACTGTATGGCACTTTTATTGTCTCTGGACCCATTTTTTATCACCCAGTGCCTGAATGCTTTTGAAAATCTAGCCCTCTGTTTGAAATCCCACCTCCCTCCCCACACAAAGCACAGCCTGTGATTCACTGAGTCACACTTAAATTGGAAGAACAAAGCTCAGGTGGGATGTACATGGTGCTTGGTCTATTGGTAATCCCATTGCACAGGGGTGGTTTTCATTCTCCGTACACAGATCGTGGGATGGGCCATCCAGCCAAGACTGTCCCCTAGTGTTGTGGTAGATAATGACCCACTGCTGTTTCTGAAGGCTTCTTCCCCTCATTTCTGTCCTGGTGCTGTTCTTAATGCCAAATGTGTGGCACAAAGTCAGGAAATACAACAATACAGAGAGGAGTCTGACAGTGTCATGGAAATTAAGAGGCCTCAAGTTTAGTTGCCTTAGCTTGAGGAGGGACACAGGGGAAATAGGAGAAGGGCCAATGCAGCACAGCAATCAGAGGTGGAAGGACCGGGAGGTGGAGGGACCTTGTATAAGGAGGGATTGCAAAATGACGCTGCTTCACTTGTGAAGAAAAGGAGAGTATTGGGAATGTAAAAATGAATTACCAAAATAGAGAGAGATGACTGGCTGCTCCTGTTTACCGTGTGTTTTAAGACAAGGGCAAAGGAGCAATCAGTTTACAACAAATATAGACAGATAAAAAGACCTCCTTTCCCCTCGGTACATAGTTAACCTACAGAACTCAGCAACGCAGGGTAATACTGAATACGATTCTAGAAAGAATTAGATATGTGTGACTAAGAATATCATTTGCAATGAAGTGGGCTAGCCTGTCACATCCTCATGCTTCAGAAAGAAGATAAAGATAGCCTTTTCTCTGCGGCTTTAGCAGACAGGACTAGGAGCATTGGCCTCAAACTGCAACAGGGCAAATATAAGTTGGAGATTCGGGAGAACTTTCTCACCATATGTGCAGTTAAGTATTGCAACAGACTACCTAGAGATGCTGTGGAATTGCCAGCCCTGGAATTTTTCAAAAGCAGATTAAACAGACACTTAACTGAGATGTCCTGGTAAGGGATGATCCTGCCCTGAGCAGGGGGCTGGACTAAATGACCTTGCCTTCCAGCCCTACTGTCTTATGATCCTATGATCTCTGATAGTAGAGTGTCACACTGTTAAGACACACAAGGAGGTTTTGGGCACCTAAACCATTCAGTATCGGCAGCAAAGCAGATGGGATGGGCATGGCTCTGCTTTGGTGTGGTAGCAACTTTGCTCCAGTAGCAGTGCCACAAGGGTTGCAAGTGTTATAAATTACTGCCACATCATTGGCATATTCCAGTGGTGCCATGCAGTGACCTAAAAACAGAGGGCTGAGCTATGACCTTGCCAAAAAGACCATCATGTCCTGCTGATGAGCCTCCAAGGCTCTGCAATCTTTTGTGTTGCTACGATGGCAATAAAGGGAGGCAGGATCCCTTTGTGGTGACCAAGCTTTAGAAACCATTGGCAGCCTCAAAGGCGACCTTGCCAACTTGGCAGGAAATGAAAGGAGTGGACAGACCTGGGCAACAAGGAGAGGCAGGTGTGGAGGTTGGTAGGTGGTGGCATTCTTATTAGCTCTGCTTCCCTGGGGGCAGGCTTGCAGGGAAACAGATCTTCTAGCACCATGTTCATCTCTCAGCCTCTATATTTCTTATACGCTTATCTGCTACTGCAATAGGTTTTTTTTTCTAAGAGTACAAGAAAGGATAGAGAGCTCTAGGCCTCACTTCTCCCTCATTCACCTCACTTTTATACCAGTGTAGCTCAAGTGAGTTCAGTTTATATTGTTGTGAGTGAAGGATCTGACCCCTTTAAGAGCTGTTTTAAAGCTGTTCTCCTTCAAGGTCATGTTCACTTTGCACTTTTTTTTTCTCTTCCCTGAAGGTTTAGGAAGTTCCTGAAGAGTCACATTCCAGACCCAGCCAAGTTCTTCCCCCCACTTGGCACTATTCAAGGAGGTGATGTTCAGGTATGAGGCCTAGAGAAAAGCTGGGCATTTGCCTGGTCAAATGGGAGGGCCCCATTGCCTCCTTTGCACTGCAAAGAGCATGGTGATCCAGGTTAGCATGTATGCATGCTGTACTGGACTGTCCAGCACTGGCTTCTAAGGTATTGGCTTTAATTTTATTTTTGACCTTCTAAAAATTGCCATTTGGCTGATGTGTCTCTAATTACAGAACTGAGAAACTACAAACCACACAAACCTCAGTACCTTGCTCCACTAGCAGGAAGGCCTGAGAGAGAGAGAGCAAAGGGCTTGCAGGACAGCTTGAGCTACCTGGATTCTGCCCCCCAGCCTGCTTCTGTCTTTACTGGATTTACTTCCTGGGACCCATTTCCATGTTCTATTTTTTTTTCTCATATCCTTCCATACCCCACTCCCTCTGCCCCCACTTCTCCTCCTCCTTTTCTCCTTCTGAGTGATGCTGTTGAAAAAAAGGCAAACACCATTCTGTGCTATACTAACAGGAGTGTTGTATGGAGCACCCCCAAGATACCCTTCTTGGCCCTGGTGAGGCCTCTGCTGGAGCACTGTGCCCAATTTGGGACACTGCACTTCAAAACAGGGACAAAATGGGAGGGAGTTTAGAGGAGGTCCCACACAAATTACAGGAGATTTAGAAAACATGGCCTATAAGAAAAAGTTAAAAGAAGTAGGTTTGCTTAATCTAAGAAAAGGAAGACTTAAAAGGGGCCACAGAACACCACCATGAAATTGTTCAGACCTTTCTGCAAAAAGGGTGGTGATCAATTGTTTCCTGTGTCTGCTGAAGGTAGGCCAAGAAAAAATGGGATTCGATTGCAGCAAGGGAGCCAAAAGAGTTTCCTGAATATCTAACCTTATGCTAAGGGGAGTTGCACATGGGAATAAGCTGCCTGGGGAGGCTGAGGAATTCCTGTTACTGGAGGTTTTTAAAGACAGGTTAGACAAACATCTGTCAAGGATGATCTAGGTATATTTTATCCTGATTCTGAGTATGGTGGTGGGTTAGATTAATTCTTTAGGTGCCTTCCAGCCCCACATGTCTGTCATTTCTCAGTCAGTTCATCTCGCTCCATTCTGCTCTTTCCTCTTTCTCTATCACTCTCTTTTATTTAATCTGTTCTCCTTTTCTCCTTTCTGCCTTTCCCTATGGTAATCACAGAGGGAAGGCTCCCACGTCCTGCTTCTTATTTTAAAATGGCAGACAGCCTGGTGAGCTTGTATTCTCTATGGAGATCCCAGAGGAGTAATGTCAGCAGCATCTGTTCCCTATGGGAAAGCCAAAGGAGAGGTGCTGTGAATCTGTTCACTGTGGGCATGTAGGAGGAATGATGTTAGGTCTCTGTTCGTCTCTTATGAGAGTATAATATTCCTGCCACTTTGAATATAACAGTGTTTCTTCTGTGTCTCCTCCCTCTCCCATCAGAAATGGTTCTCCTCTCCATTCTCCACATCTTCCTACTGTGTAAGCAACATCTCCCCAGAGATCTCAGTGCTCGAAGTAATGCAGAAGAAGGACCAAGAATCCCAGCTTCTCCTTCCCAAGCTATTCATCACCTCTGGAGGCTCCCCAGAAACCAGTGGGCACTCTGTGTCCAGCTGCTTCACCAACCAAGGCTACTTCTTTTTCCATCTCCCCAACTCCTTTGAGATTGAGCCATGCCAGGTATACTTCACCTATGAGCCTTTCACTCAAGAGAACAGCAGCAGTGAAGATGGTGACTCCTACAGGGCACTCCCCTCCCCAGACCACTGCATGCTGGTGGATAACACCCCACTCTTCCCCTCCCACTTTCTTCACCTCACTGAAGGCACCCAAGGTTTCCAGAACAGATCCTTTGTGGGAGAGACAGAAGACATAGTCAGTGAAGTCAGGGTGCCTTCTGAGACTCTTCCATCAGATGAGAGTGCCTCACTGACAGCAGCACTGGAGCAGAATGAGAAGAGAAATGAAAATACAGTATTAGAGTCCTCCGAGTGCCCAGACAAGGCTGGCATGGTCTTCTCAAGTCCCCCAAAGCATCAAGGAGGGGATGCCATTCAAATGGTAGAAGGGGCCAGGGAGACTGCCCCTCAAGTCAATTCCATTGATATTGTGAACGGTGCTAGCTCTTCACCCTCCCAACCCATGCCTCTGAGTCAAGAGCAGACTGATGACGTCCGCAGAATTGCTTTCTCTTGCCAAGACCCTAACACTGGAGCCTATTTGTCTTTGAGGGAGCTTCAAAGCCAATACAGCCATTGTTCTGTTTAAGCTATTCCTGAGGAACTGTAAGTAAGAGCAGGAGACTGCCAAGAAGTTGATCCTTCAGCTTCACCAAACCCAGTAGCACTCTTCGAACTAGCATGCATGGAGATCCTCTACTAGTACCAGGGAATGGGGCCATTAGCCAAACAGGTGGTGAGCACAGCCCAAGCCTACAACTGGTAGGGAAGTCATATATGGAGATGGAAAGGTGTGAACGGAGAGAAGGTAAAATGAAAATAGATGAAAAACTAAAAAAGGGATGGTCAGGGAGACGTACAACTCCACAACACAGACAATGCCATGGCAACTGCAAATGGATGGATGCCAGGTATGGAGTACTGGACACATAAGTTGTTAGAAAGATGGATAAGAAAGAGTTTGAGAAAAGAGGCATTAACACTTCTAAAATATTAGACAGAATATGGACTCAGAAGAGCATAGAACTATAAGGGTCCTCCTGAGTCATCAACTCCAGTCACCTACTCTCACAGGCAGATATGTAATTCTGTTCATAAACTGGTCATGTTCCATCTTGAAAGGAGCTATGTTGTTTGTCCCCGCTACTGTTATGGGAAGCCCATGCCAGAACACTTCCTCCCCTGCAAAATGATTTGAAAATCACATCTAGCTCTCAGATTGAGCTGGCAGGCTTTCTCTCTGCCTCTCATGTTCTAGCCAGCCGAGCATAGATGCTTCCACAGGGCAGAAGAAATGTCTGAAAAGGCAGTGGTAAATCTATGAAGAAGGCAATAAGACATTAGTGAGAGCTTCTGCTTCTTTATTACTATTATAATTATCATTATTTAGTTCACTGCCTGCTTTCTTCCCTCCCAGGTGGTACAAAGTCAGTGTTTTGATCAGCTTGGTCAGAATTAGAAGTTTAGGCTTGGGCTTGTATGTTTAAAGAAAATTCATGACTACAACTGTCAAGCCCTGCAAGGGATGGAATTTAAAAAAAACCCCTTTGCCATGTAAAACATCCTGGGGAAAATCCCCCCCCATTTTGCAGGGGGGCGGGGAAACAAGAGCAATGTTAGTAGCAAGAGACAGAGCACAAAATTTCCCATTGTTGATGCAGTTTCTTTGCAAAATTGAAAGCCTGTTCACCCTGCTGGCAAAAACAGAGTTATTTGACTATGATAAGCTGATTGCGGAAGAGTCCATCCCACATCCTGTATTAGTGGAAACCATCTAAATGCTGCCCATTCCTTCCATTGCTTGAGGGGAACCATTGCCTAACTAGTGGCAAAGAAAAGTGAATCAGCAGCTCCCTGAAGTAGCGTCACTGCAGCCCCATTGCTTGAAACAAAAACTCACTCCACTCGTTTGACCCCTAAGAAATGTGGATTTTTTTTAATTGCCTCTGAATTCCTGATTTGGGACAGAAATAGTAGATGAGAGGGACATACACAAAGGGAGGGCTGTTCCTATTGGTCCTATGGTATCCATTCTTGCTATTCCCTTTTGTATCAATTCCCTTTTGTATCAGTATTTCCTTTCCAATTTTCCAGACCTGTCTAGAAGTGGAAAATATCAATCCCAAGCTAGGAGGATTGGATCTCTTACAAAAAATTCCCTGACCAGAGAAGTTTGGGGTGTTTCCATAAAACTTCTAAAATTCACTTACAGCTGTTTCAGTACCACCAGTTCACTACCACCTGTTCCCACAGTAGCAAAGAGTTGCCTTCCTTTTTTCCACACATATGTCCCAGAGCCACAATTACAGTTAAATTCCCTTATCTTGAGTTATTAAACTGAACATTGTGTTTATCAGAGAAGTAAGCCCACACTGGGCTTGACTTCATGACCAAAGAGCTGCTGAACAGAACCTGGCCTGCTTAGAAGTGGAACTGCTGGGGAGAAGACCCCTTCCTGTGTTAGGCTGTCCATCTCCACTATATCACACATGCCTCTGGATGCCTACTATGCCATGATCTCAGAGACTGAAGGTATAGGAAAGACAACAGCCTGCCCAATGCCCATGTATTTGCTGGGAAGCTTTCAAGATGAACTGCTAGGAGAAAGCATTGAATTTCTGGTCCCTGGTAGACAAGATGCTAGCTGAAATGGGCTGGTTATCCTATCCACTATGGCATTTTCCCTGAGCCTGTGTATTTTTTAATAAGCTTAATCATTCTTGCTGCTAAAATAAGTAAAAAAACCAGACAAACCTTCCTTTTTGCCAATAAAACAAAATTGTCTTTTCAAAACAGTAGGTCTCTTTCTTTTATTAGCAGAACTTGGGTTTTAGCTTGTATTGCCTAGTTGGATGGAAGCAAGTTTTTAATTGCTGACCTCCCACAGTCCACCCCTGCTGGAAGAGGGCTTGTGGGGTTGCCCCTCACAGTCAGGTACCGAGACAATGGGTTCAGGGCCCAGTAGGGGATTTGCTGCAGCACCGTACCTAAGTTCTTGGTGGCAGTGGAGGAACTTTTAGTATCAGGCCCCCCTTTGCCAGAGAATAAAAATGACCATTTTGGGGCCCGCTTTCTGGCTGGGCCCTGGGTGGCTGCCTGGTTTGCCCATGCCTGTCTGGCCCTGAATTGCTGTTATCTAAGGTTGGTTGGGAATTTGATTCAAGGAGCAGAAACTGGTGGTTTTGGAGACTGTTCAAAGCGTAGCACTTGGGGTCTTGGAAGTGAATGGAAAGACTGTCACTGACTTCAGTAGGCTTTGGGTCAGCCCCTTGAACAGGAAGATCATGGGGATTTTTCCTCATTACAAACAGATGGGTCCTGCACACCGGGTTCAGGAAGAAGAAGGCAAACTTCAGGAGGATTTAACACTCTGCCCCAAACAGGTGAGGATGAAGACAACAGGTTGAGAGGAATGGGAAAAGTGTAAGAGAAGCAATATCCTCCCATCTCAAACGGTGATGTGGAGGGCAGGGGATAGTCTGAATCATTTGAGACTAATCGCTTGAATTCTTTTCAGCCAATCTCATGAAGCAATGCTGGGAGTGAATCTGCTGGAAGTCACTGAAAATCACTCTGCCTGCTCTATTTTCTTACTTCTGAAATTGCTGATGGTTTTCAGACATATTAAGCAGCCATTCTGGGTGTGAATGTGTAACATGCTGTGGCAGGAAGTCCTCAACGTAAGATATGAAGATAACCGGACCTTTCTTCCAGGAAGCCTGTGTCATGTGATGTGAAGTTCTGCAAATGTGTGACTAGCTGGTGTTGTGTGTCTGTGTATGTAAGAGGCACAACACAGCCTTTTCCTCTCAATCCCTTATTGTCTGAGCCCTAATGGGTCTTCTGAAGTGTCCTGAAGGTCCAGTGGGACTTATCCAAGTGCAATATAAGCAGAGCCACAAAGAACCCACACAGAGTCAGCTCTAGCACTAGTGACAGGTGATGGGCCAGTAGCTCCTGGGGCAGAATCCTCTACTTAGCCTGAGCACACGTACAACAAAGATAGCTGCAATGAAAGTGCACGCACACACACCATACCCTACCGTTCCTTTCATTTTGCTTCTTCACCCCGCCCCATGGGTAACTGGAAATTTGGGGCTGGACTCAGCCCTGGTGACGCAGCCCTTTCAATCTGATTTTGCTTTTATGTTCTTGGTTGATTCACATATACCACAGTGATAAATGTGGTTCATGTGCTTAAATATTAGAACAGAACAAAAGTCAATAGATCTTTTTCTACTGAGACTATTAATGAGGAGGACATTCACTTTTCCGGAGGCATGGATGGTCCTGGGATTAAGCTGCTGGACTGGGAATGTAGAGTCAGGATTTGGGAGACCTGATTGTTTCGCTCCCCGCATCACCTTGAGCAGTTCACTTGCTGTAATATTTTCAAAAACACCTAAATTGCTTGCAAGCCAGAATCTCATTTCAAAGCATTTAGAAACTTAAATTCCAATTCATTTCAATGTAACTGATGCACCTGAATCATGTTGTCCTTTTCTAAATTCCCTAAGTCTGTTAAGGATCAGGTAGTCACAGCATTTAGGCCACTAAAGATGTGAATAGGCATTTAACACCTTGACAACACAGCCCTAAGTCCCTTTTGAAAATGGGGCTCCTAAATCTCTTAGGCATTTCAGAAAAATTTACCCTTTGTTACTCTGTGTATCAGTTTCCTATCTGCAAAACAGCAATAATAATCCTTCCTAGTCCTGGGGAGTAAAGGTGGGGGATAACTTCACTGAGATGCATAAGCTGCTCAGACGTTACTGTAACCAGGGTCTTTGACTACACACATCTGAGTAAACAGACAGTGTACAGAAATGGCTTTCAATTTCCCTTGGCTTGAGACTAGATTTGAATCAGTGCCCTTGAGATGAGCAGCTATTCCTTGCCAACTAATGCTATTCTAATAACAAAGTTCCTCTGTTCCCCATCAAGATAATACCTGTTTTCTAAAAGGTAATTTCCACTAATGATTATCAATGAGATTATTCTGTTTACTTTGTCCTGGTTGAAGCATAGTTGCTTTTTTTTTTTTTTCCAAGTTAGAAATCATTCCTGAAAGCCTTGGAGAGTGCTAGCCATTTATAAAGCATGTGTATTATTTACCTGATGGACAGTAATGGCTTCTCTGGAAGTCATCTAAATCCATATGCTGAGATGCTTTAAAAGAGCTGCGTTTTGCTCGGGAGATTGGAACGGCTCCTTTGCAACCATTACGATCCACCCTGAGCCTTTAAGGATCTTAAACCCAGCGATTATCAAGGCCACTCACACCAGT